CTGTACTTCCGTGATTGGGCTGGATGTCCGTTCAGTTCCTGCAAGAGAAGGAATCCTGTATCGAATGCACACGTCCGCCCCTCACACTTACTGCACACACATGCACCCTTACGCACATTCACCGTACCCACACACACACACTCACTGTACACACACACTCACTGTACACACACTCACTGTACACACACACACACTCACTGTACACACACACAAACTCACTGTACACACACACACACACACACACACACACACTCACTGTACACACACATACTGTACACACACACACACTCACTGTACCCCCACACACACTCACTGTACACACACACACACACACACACACTCACTGAACACACCCACATACTGTACACACACACACACACACACTCACTGTACCCCCACACACACTCACTATACACACACACACACACACACACACACACACACACACTCACTGTACCCACACGTACTGTACACACACATACTGTACACACACATACTGTACACACACGTACTGCCCGTGCACGTACACTCCTCCGCATGCCCCGGCAAAAAACGGGGTGAAAAGCCGGTACCGAGACATAAAAAACCCACATACCTCTATGTAACTCTCACTCTCTCTCTCTCTCTCTCTCTCTCTCTCTCTCTCTCTCGGTTTCAACATGTCTGTAATCATTCATAACCACATGATCGTTCATCAAGCCATACACAACCATGTGTCATCACTGCCCATCGGGCTTCTCTCTCATCATGGCATTAAGCCATACACAACCATGTGTCATCACTGCCCATCGGGCTTCTCCCTCATCATGGCACCAAGCCATACTCATCACTGCCCATCGGGCTTCTCCCTCCCCCTCATCATGGCATCTAGCCATACACAATCATGTGTCATCACGGCCCATCGGGCTTCTCCCTCATCATGGCATCAAGCCATACACAATATTGTGTCCTCACTACCCATTGGGCTTCTCTGTGATTATGGCATCAAGCCCTACGCAATCATGTGTCATCACTGCCCATCGGGCTTCTTACTCACTCCGTCATCACTCACATACACACTAAATAATGGCAAGTCGGGTTACCCATTTATACACCACACAAGGCCGTTACCAATCGCTTGCATCATGTCCAGTCGTGGGTGATCCGGTGTCTGTTCCACGGCCTAGGTACTGGCTTGGTACTGAAAGGACAGCAAGAGGAAAACATATATAAATACTTCATTAAGATTCAACACCGAAAACATAAGGACGGCATGCACAAGCGAGATCAAGATACGTAAAGCTTTAACCAGTTGACTTGGCCTGGCAGCTGACTGGGGTATCTCGCACACCTTACACCATCAAAGTGGTGGCTTAACTTTTATGGATTGGTTTGGCATTACAACAGTGGAGTTGTGCAGTGTGCCATCATGTTACCTCACCTCGCACATTGCAGACTGCAGCGACCGAGTGAGGACTACGCGCAACCTGCCGCTTTAGTTATCGCTCCGTCTGGAATGTACACTTATATTGAGCGTGTTCGGTAACCCTAGTCTTACTCTCTGGACGAAGGAAACCTGGACAGTACTGCTTCCCACCCCTGGTCAACATCGCATGCCCCCCTGCGGTTGCTGTCCCATTATCTGTTGTGTTGTTGTCGCTTGCTGCAATAGCCCATGACTATTGTCGTACTTGTTTGCACTCATACAATCCCAGGCTGTACTTTGGAACTGTTTCCATTGCCCATGTACTCCTTATTCTTTGCTTGCTTTTATGCTGAGAGAACATATGCTGGCTCCCTGTACTGCTTAGCCGCGTACTCATTCGGTAGAAATGCATGAATAATACTACTAATAATCTGACGTGAGTGAGGTGGATGGGCACCTCAGGAACACAAGTTTGAAGTCAGCAAGCAGTCAACTTTTGCGTGAATTTCTTCCGGAAACATGTCTGGTGGGCCCCACCCGTGAAAAAACAAACAAACATTTGTCTCGTCCTGCCGGCCAATTGTCCCCCCTTGTGTGTCCGATGGCTGCGGACGTCGAAATCTGTTACACCCCGATTACACCTGGCCGGAAATCTACTATCACTTTGCACGATGTTTGACTTGAACAAAATTTCCTGCCATGCCATTGTTGCCCGATTTTTGTACTCAGACTGACAAACTAACTACTCTTGTTGTTCATGGTTGCCTCTACAAACACGATACAGTCATGTACATCGCTCTGCACATCCATAACATTCTGATGGTCCCGTGACATTGATCATGCACCCTGTGTAGGGCCTTAGGGCGGTAAGGGCTGGGCGTTTGTTTGCTCCCTTGAATACGACGGCATGTACACCCCTTTCGATCGTGTCAACTACATGATTATATACTTCGTAAATTATCGAAAAAACATCCACAGTCTCAAGTACTGATACTTATCTTTTCTCTCCGGTCCATGTGCGGTCCGAAAACTGGCTGGCTGTCCCAGTGAACTCCGGTAGGTGTTGTCAACAGACAGCTACGACCTTGCTGCCCTTCGCCACGATATAAGACAACTACTTCAGTATGACTGCGGTGTCACCTCTGCCAGGAGCTTCGCCACCATTCGGGACACGATGTTGTGATCGACAGCGCTCATCACCGACTCCGTACTCTCGATCTCATCACTGCGCCCACGGAAAACTCTCAAGAACTCGCTGAAGCCTTTGAGGAGTATGGTTGCGGTACAGGTAGTTGTCGACTCGACATGTCGGAACTGAGGGACCAATTGTTTTGTCAACTAAATTTTACTTCCACAATCTTTGCTGGTCGTCCGAAACGCCCTGATTGGTGTAGCTGTCAACGGTGACTCTGCTCCGCCTGGTACCAAACTTGCTTGTGTGTGGCGGATTACGCTCAGCTCCTTTTAGCTGTTTCCGCCTTTCGCAGATCGATCTGCAGCTCCCAAAAACGTCAGGTTACTGGTACATCAGCTTGCAGGCCCAATCAGGCGATGTGGACCTTTTGTAGGCTGGGCCGATTCATTATAGACGGTGCACGGCACTGTCGTTTCTTTCTCCTGGACTATTACACTGTAGATCTACTCTGAAAAAAATAATAAGATGAGTTGTGGTGTTGTGTGGCTGCGAGTGGAAACTAAAAACTGGAGCACTTGAAAACTTCAACTACCACGAGGAAAAACAAAGACCACGATGGCAGGTTCAACGGAGTTGCGCAGAACAAGAGCAAATGCACGAAAATATTTGTGAGTGAAAAATACGTTTTTTGCACTCTTTCGCTACGCTCAAGCGGGATTCACAGAAGCTTTTTTGCGATGCGACACGCGATGCGACAGGCGCGAAACCGGGAAAACCCCAAATCGCAGCCATGTCGCACCCCACGCAACTGCCGCAACTGGGCCATCGCAGAAGTTGAGCTTGGCTCAACTTTTGCGATGCGATGCGATGCGGCAAGCGACTTGGCGTACGATTTTGACCTTTTCTACAGCAAAGTTGTACAAAGGTGCAAGAGTTGCCTATAAATTTGTACAAGTTGTATCAAACCGCGCGAATATCATGGTGACGTAGCCAAATCAGCATGATTTTGTCGCATCACTGACTTCTTCTGTGAATGGTATTTCGCGAGTTCGCATCTCACGCGTCCGTCGCAGATCGCGTCGCATCGCGTGTCGGATCGCAAAAAAGCTTCTGTGAATCCCGCTTAAGCCGTGAAAAAACAAAACTTTCTTTATTTAGTGTATACTATACTACGCGAAATGTGCTTTTTTAATTTTTTATAATGCTCACATTACTCCATTTAATGCCAGTTTCAAAGTTGGAAAAGTCGATTTAAGAGGGCCGTCTTGGATCAAGGCCAAAGCGTAGAAGAAAAAAACTTAAACAGCAGTGAGAATGTTGTCTGAAACAATCCACTGAGAAGGTTGATTTGCAACGTCAAGTCTCCGGACGAAGCCGGACGGGTTCAGATGCACGATTTTCGGAACTGGACCTAGCCAGCTTCATGCATACCACCGTTGTCGACCGGCAATTATGCTTGTAATGCCAATTTTGCATGCGAAATGGTGTCATAATGCCAGCATTATACCACCTGGAAAAATGGACAACATGTATAATGCTAGCCATAATGCTAGCATTACCCGCCCATGCCTACTGGTGGCGTGAGAGAGAAAGTAGGAAAACATTCCATTGCACTAGGTAGTGTGACCGTACTTCATGCTAGGCGTAAAGGAATTCCGCATACTTGTACTTGTACAATCATGACTGTTGATCTCTTCGCCTCGTGAACCACATAACCATGACAACAGCCATGGCCTGCAGCGACCAGGCTCCAAAAACAAAAATTGACAGCTCCGATTTGACATTCACAGTCGCAGTCATCATCTTGACTGGGTCTGTGCATGTCATGCGGGGCTAGCTAGCAGAGACCGCCTGCCAGTGAGCGACCAGGAGAAGCAAGGCGGGCTTGAATGGCCTGGTCTTGGGCTAGGCTAAGGCTGGATTTGTTGCAAACGTGCACATGGTGTTGATATTTCTAGCTGCGTGTCTGCTCACACGTTTTGCTGTTTTCCGGTTGAAAAAAATGCCTCGAAAGCAACACGCGACAGGTAATGAAACAGTGTCAAAGTACGATAACAATTATTACGCTACCTGTTGAAGTTTAATACGTGTGCTTCTGTCCCCAACACCTGCTATCCATGTGTTTGTTCAGGAGTACTGCATGCGGAAAAGCGCCGCGGTTGAACCATAAATATTGTATTGAAAACTTGTTCAAATGTCTAGACTATGGTCAAACGTGTGAGACCACCGCATCCCGGAAAGCTTTCACTAGTAGTAGTACAATGATTAATCAATATCCTACCTGGTCCTGGGATCGCGGCGGGGGTCTACGTGTCGTGTATATCGAAAGTTTGCTGCGCGCCTGTACTGGGTATTATGGAGATAGCTTCTGTTGGGCACAGTGAGATAGCGTGTGCGTAGATCTACTGCTGCCAGTGCTAGTACTGCTGCTGGTCACGCCAAAGACACCCAAATCGCTCTCTACTCCAGCCGCACTGTGGAAGCACGGACACACGTTCTCCGCTGCACCGAAGCGACATTCACAAACATTACCATCGTCCCAGTTTCTGTCTGGCCATAACCGAGATGCACTGTTCCAGCGTCAAGAGAAAACTGAATGCAGTATGTATTTTTGTTTGTCCATTTAGTGGATAAAGGAGAAGAGCATTCCTCGTGAGAGCTGCAGCATTCCTCCTGCGTCTGCTCGTAGGTACTGAAGTAAACGTTTCTTTTAGTGATTGAGACGAATTCAGCAGCACAGGCAACAGATAGTTGCGAGCTCCGGCCGTCTACCGCTCTGAGTACATGAGTGATCGGATCCCCGATAATCATCCCTAACATTCTCCTCGTGGACTGCCCATTGAGCACTTTGATCGCGAAGCGTTGGAGTCACCACTCCCCATATGGTGAGCACGTTCTGTAGAAGTAATAGGACAACTCGTATTATGAGTACAACATGCGAGAAATGGGCATTGGTCAAAGTTTTCATCCTTTCACTGCTATTTCAAAGACCTTTTTTTCGAAAAATCCATTATTACCTGGGAAAATGAAGCCAGAAGGGAGGAATACAATGGTAGAGCATTCCACACAAACTTCCTGCAATTGTTATTCGCTGTCAGTAGTTGCAAAGCAGATCCTTATTTACACCATACAGGGGCGTCGGAAGGTATTTTAGTGTGGTACGGTCAGCCATCTGAAGTACTAGTACAATTTACTCGTGGGAGTGTGGTTACTGAGCCAAAAATGTGGAAATTTAAATCCCAGATCAGTGTATTTTATTGATTTACGGGGTAACTGGGTCCAAAAGTGGTACAGTCAATACCGTAGTGACCATACTGTGTCCGACACCCCTGCCATAGCGCTTATCGGTGGCCATAGCTAGAGTATAGTTACGTAGTAATCATGTGATCGCTGTGCTGAATAAAGGAGTCAAATGTCTCTGTGCTGTTGCATGTGTTGTTAGAGTTTTCCGTTGCCTGAGCCTTTAGCATGAAACTCAAAGTACGAGTCATAAACTCAAACACAGATTTCCTCCCACCTTCTGAACACAAATATCATGCTGTCAATCATAGTCAGTCACAGTAAATTCTGCGACTCCTGACTGAGCATAGGGAAAGAGGGCAAAAAACGCATTTTTCACTCACACAATATGTTCCAGTAGCTGCTCTTGTTCTGCGCAACTCCATAAAACCTGCCTTCGCGGTCTTTGTTTTCCCTGTTGTAGTTGAAGTTCATCGTGAGTGTGATTGCTCTAGTAAACCATTACCCCATGTAATGGACCGTTGATCTGTGAGTGAACAGTGATGTGTTTGAAATTGCAGCACATGCTGGTAATGGTGTTCCAAGATGTATTGTGCAGGAGATTATTATGGAGATTGACCACCTTGCAGATAACTACAATTACGGTGCTCCTTCTGGTTTCTCCAGATACCACAGCGCCCTGTGCAAACACATCACACCACTCCGAAATGCAACGAAGGGGGAATTCATCTTGCACAGGGAGCACCGGTAAGGCTTCAAGTCGGAGAGGTTCAGCTCGTCAGCCGGTCATGCCTTACCACAATCCCCTATCTACCGTCACACACTTACAGCCATCTTTGAAGGAACCAAGCTTCAGTCCACCTTCAGGTATCATCCAGCAGCCACATCACAAAGGGCCTACAGACAATCACGTCTTTGAAAGGAGTCAGGCACCTGCATCGGAAGCTGCATATTTAGCCAGATCTTTAGCCATGACACCATCAATGGAAGAAAGAAGCACTAAGCAAAGGGAAGCAGAAAGACAAAGCAGCATAGACAAGCAGTTACAGGAGCTGAGTATCTCATCAGCTACTACTGTCACAGTTTCTCCACCTTCCACTATTGCTGCTGTCCCTACTGCTGCTGCTGCTGCTGCTGCTGCTGCTGCTGCTGCTACTGCTGCTGCTGCTGCTACTGCTGCTGCTGCTGCTGCTGATGATGGTGATCATGATCATGATGATGTGCCTGATTTTCCACAAGATGCTAATCAGGCTGCGAGTGAAGCATACCGAGAAACACCAGCAAGTTCCGAACAGCAAACGGCTGATCTGAGAGAAATTTTCGGCTTTCACTTAAATCAGCAGCAGCAGCAGGAACAGATGAAATTTGCGCGGACAACCCAAGCCAGCAAAGCAATGGTGTACGATGTGTTCAAGTTGACCGTAGGGCACATTGAAATCCTGGAAAGACTGGAGATGGAAGAGATGAACAAGGTGCCACCTTCAATGTCATCATCCAGCGAGAAGCTATATGAAACCATGAAGCACAATCATGACGGCACCCGGATCACTGTTGATGAGGTATGTTGCTACAGGTTTGCGTCGACATTAATTTCAAATGTGAATTTTTCTTTCCTTCCGCAGTGCATGAGAGAACTGATCTGTGCATATAGTATCATTTTAAAAAGGTGTACACTGTAAAGGCGTTTGTAAGGGTATTGATATCGATGCAAGGAAAGTGAGCGCACTCAGACCACGAGAACAATAGAACAATATTTTAAGATTTAAACGCCGTTTCCATGTGATTATTATCAGAAATCATCGTCACACTGAATGTTGGACTACAAAAAAATATCGTTCCATTGTTCTCGTGGTATGAGTGCGCTCACTTTGCTTGCATCGATATTAGGTTTCTTGTCTCCACGCCGACTTTGTAAGGGTATTGGCTAATATTATTATTCTCAGTCAGAACGTGTACATCAAGTAATGGCGGTCCATTGCAAGTTATGTGCTGTGCTATCTTGTATTGCTTTGTTTTCCCCAGATGATTCAGCGATGCAACAACTACCTTCTGAGCTTGGCGATCCAGATGGGCTCCTGCCACCCAGAAGCACGTTTTCAACTGAAGGAACAGCTGAGGAAAGAGGTGGCTGATTGGATTCGTACCTGCGATTTGAGAATAGATAGTGTTTGCCATTTCATAACGAATATGGACCGAGCAATTCAGCAGAAAGAGCCCCAATTAATGTCAACAAGATCACCCCCACCACCACCACAATCACCGGCATGTATGGCTCAAACATTGGGACGGGTCTTCCAGGTCGTCCAAGGTGGTTTGGTAACGAGCGACGAGCTGCAGAAGGACTACGAGGATAATCCCAATCTTCAAGCCCGCCTCCCTGAGTTCAGGAACCAGGTCAGTTTTCGCTGATTTGCAGTCATTGGCACTCATTGCTATAACATCACCATGACATCACCGCTACATCATCATGACATCACCATTACATCATCATGGCATCAACATAGACCATCATTTCAACAAGGGTTTTAGTTTTAGTTTTGTTTTATTCCAAGCAATACATGGCTGGGGAAGCCAATGACCACTTTTCGTGGCGATTGCAGGGTTTGTGTAGCCAACCACGGCCAGCAAGAAAGGAAAAAGAAGGTGAAAAGAAAAGGAAAAAGAGAGTACATAGAAGCAGAACTTCATGTCTTTTTTCTAGTGCTTTTTCTCTTCTATTTTTGGCTTATTCCATTATCACTGTACACGTATATGTCATAATTGACATTCTTTAGGCATAACCACGTCATCTATTTGTTCATAAACGTATCCATTCTCGCATTACGCACCTCCGCACAGGACATATTGGAGCGAGCCACATTGTCCTCTGTCCGCACACTGTATTCACATACAAGTAGAAAACAGTATTGATTCATGCATTTTCTGAAAGTTCAATTTGTACATTCGTACCCTCACATAGTAATAATAATAATTATTATTGTTTCATTGCAAAGTGAAAACACGTAATGTGAAGAGAGCAGGATTTGCTGGGACTGATGGGCGGAAAGGTTCAAGTAGACGCTGGAGACCGAACTACTCTGCCCAACCTGAAGCGTTTCCTCATTCACAGTGAAGAGCCTAGCACATCCCACAACACATATCCATGTACACAGTCATGTACACAGTCACTTCAGATACGTTGTGTACATGTACAGTCCATGTACACAGTCATGTACACAGTCATGTACACAGTCACTTCAGACACGTTGTGTACATGTACAGTCCATGTACAGTCCATGTACAGTCCATGTACAGTCATAATAATTATGAAATTATGTGATTCCAGGGTATGCCCCCACATGAGCGCGACCCAAAACAACGCCGTTGACTTCAGCGCCCCCCAAAAGCCCCATCCCCATAACTGGACATCCCCAAAACAGACCACCCCGTCAGCGCGCACGCTCAGTACAGGTCGACTCATTTACACTCAAACCCAAAAGATGGACACTCGACTTGTCAAAGACTCACATCATGATCAACTCGAAATGGCCAGTTCAGTATTGAAGGGCGATATTGCCTGGACTCAATTTATAATGAACTCTAGAAAGCAATGATGAACTAAAAAAAGCAATTATCGTCGCAGAAGGCAATGATCAACTCAAAAAGAGCAATGATCGTCTCAAAAAACAGTTCACTATTATTTTTTTTGGTTTTCCGAAAATGGTAATCTGCAATGGACTGTCATTAAAACAGAAAAAGAAAATAATAAGGCACCCATTTTGATAGTCCAGGGGATGGCCCACGCCTGGTAAAGAGAAAAAATAGAGAAAAGGAAAGACGGATATTTCACAGGAAGTACACCCACCGTTAGGCGCTGCATCTGCCGCTAGGGTTTATCGGGTGTTAGCGGCCGTCGTGAGTTCCCTTCGGGAACGGATACGATAATTTACTTTTTTTTTTTTTTACATGTACATGTACAATGGGGACACAGTGCAGTTCAGTATTAAATGGCGATATTGCCTGGAGCGAATCCATGAACAAATTGTGGGCAGTCACGAGATGGCTTGGACATTACTCGTTCTCATGTGTTTCTTCTCTTTTTTTGCATATCTTTTTTAAGAACGGGTTTCCTCCTGATATCCACCATGGTAATACTAACATCAAGAGTACATAACACTGGTTATGTAAACATGAGCCTGCACATTATGGGTCACGTGTGTAATGAGCTGGCTTATATTCGGACGTTAACGTAATTGGTCGCGCCAAAATGGGGCGTGCAAGAGACGAGACGAGCTGTGGTGACACAGTGTCACATTAGGTCGCGCTGTACTGGGGGTGCTAATATGAACACGCGCCGTTTATGGTTGCGCTGTTTTGGGTGTAAATCGATTCCGGTTATAGTGGGGGGGGGGGGGGGGGAGGGCAGAAAACACGTTTGCTGTACACGTGTAGGATAGCGCTATCAGCAGGCGATTTCTGTTTGATTTCTTCTTCGTTTTCTTCCAGCTCAAGAGTACACAAGAACCAACAACAACAGCAACAACAACAACAACAACAACAACAACAACAACAACAACAACAACAACAACAACAACAACAACAACAACAACAACAACAACAACAACAACAACAACAACAACAACAACAACAACAACAACAACAACAACAACAACAACAACAACAACAACAACAACAACAACAACAACAACAACAACAACAACAACAACAACAACAACAACAACAACAACAACAACAACAACAACAACAACAACAACAACAACAACAACAACAACAACAACAACAACAACAACAACAACAACAACAACAACAACAACAACAACAACAACAACAACAACAACAACAACAACAACAACAACAACAACAACAACAACAACAACAACAACAACAACAACAACAACAACAACAACAACAACAACAACAACAACAACAACAACAACAACAACAACAACAACAACAACAACAACAACAACAACAACAACAACAACAACAACAACAACAACAACAACAACAACAACAACAACAACAACAACAACAACAACAACAACAACAACAACAACAACAACAACAACAACAACAACAACAACAACAACAACAACAACAACAACAACAACAACAACAACAACAACAACAACAACAACAACAACAACAACAACAACAACAACAACAACAACAACAACAACAACAACAACAACAACAACAACAACAACAACAACAACAACAACAACAACAACAACAACAACAACAACAACAACAACAACAACAACAACAACAACAACAACAACAACAACAACAACAACAACAACAACAACAACAACAACAACAACAACAACAACAACAACAACAACAACAACAACAACAACAACAACAACAACAACAACAACAACAACAACAACAACAACAACAACAACAACAACAACAACAACAACAACAACAACAACAACAACAACAACAACAACAACAACAACAACAACAACAACAACAACAACAACAACAACAACAACAACAACAACAACAACAACAACAACAACAACAACAACAACAACAACAACAACAACAACAACAACAACAACAACAACAACAACAACAACAACAACAACAACAACAACAACAACAACAACAACAACAACAACAACAACAACAACAACAACAACAACAACAACAACAACAACAACAACAACAACAACAACAACAACAACAACAACAACAACAACAACAACAACAACAACAACAACAACAACAACAACAACAACAACAACAACAACAACAACAACAACAACAACAACAACAACAACAACAACAACAACAACAACAACAACAACAACAACAACAACAACAACAACAACAACAACAACAACAACAACAACAACAACAACAACAACAACAACAACAACAACAACAACAACAACAACAACAACAACAACAACAACAACAACAACAACAACAACAACAACAACAACAACAACAACAACAACAACAACAACAACAACAACAACAACAACAACAACAACAACAACAACAACAACAACAACAACAACAACAACAACAACAACAACAACAACAACAACAACAACAACAACAACAACAACAACAACAACAACAACAACAACAACAACAACAACAACAACAACAACAACAACAACAACAACAACAACAACAACAACAACAACAACAACAACAACAACAACAACAACAACAACAACAACAACAACAACAACAACAACAACAACAACAACAACAACAACAACAACAACAACAACAACAACAACAACAACAACAACAACAACAACAACAACAACAACAACAACAACAACAACAACAACAACAACAACAACAACAACAACAACAACAACAACAACAACAACAACAACAACAACAACAACAACAACAACAACAACAACAACAACAACAAAGTCTTTATGATTTCCTCAGTTCTTTCTCTCCTCCTCTGTGATGGCATTAGTTTTCATGCATAAAAAGAGTATCCTTTTACGCCATCACCTATTTCAGTTGTGGCAGTAATATGTTAGAATTCCACACCACCAAGGGCACCACCACCACTAACAGTTACTTTCATTCATTCTGCATGCATACACGCAACGCAGTATTAGATTGGTGATTGACGTTCACGGACTCAGAGCTAGTTTGCACTGTTGCTATCGGTATGTGCCAAGTAGCTGGTTTTAATAGAGAAAAATAATTACTTGGTGACACTGACAGGCAGACACTAGACAGCCGCCAGGCAGACAGCTGCTAGGCAGGTTCTGGAAGACAGCCAGGCAAGTTCTGACAGTAACAGACAATGTACGTGTGAGTACTATTCTGCCTGCCGAAACCTTCACAAGTGATAATATAACAGGTCTACACGGAAATGCAAAGTCTTTACGACTTTAGCTGTCTGCTGTAAGTCTGACCTGCCTTGGCTTCTGTACTCGTGATCATGGTGGTTTACGAGATGTACAGTACAGTCCATTCATCGAAAACTTGCCCGCTGGCTTTTGAAAGTCGGATTTGGGCCGAATTGAGGATCAAAACCCACTTTAAATCTCCAAAATCTGGGTTTTGGATCTGCTTCTCCATACATTTTGCCATGGCATACCTGCCCTAATTTTGTAAAACCTGGCTGAATTTCTATTTCCCTGTTCTTGGATTTTTCTGCCCTCAAAAGTCAAATGTGGTAAGGAGTAATTGCACGGGTCACACAATGCAGGACGTACTGTTGTTTTCACGATATATACAACTATGTGAGAGAGACATCAAAAAAAAAAAGACATCAACCAACCAACCAACATCAGTCAGTTTTGTGCTAATTGTTTCACATTTTGACTCAACAGTATCCTGCTTATAATCGTTAGTGTTGGACAAAACGGATAACTTGTAAACTTATGGTCCTCTCTTTTTGTAATTTTAATCCTTGGCTCTCCATACGAGTTTAACGGACGTACTCGTACTAGTTGGGACACAACCATCTCCACACATACACTGTACACACTTCTCGTTTCCGCACTCTTCTCATCACTTTCCTACGGCACCTCATCGTACAATGATTGATTGATTGATTTTTATTTCACGGATCCTCCAGAGGCAAATAGATGCCTATCGAAGGGAGTCTCCTAAGTAAGTATGGAAAATGAGAAAGTATGTTCGTAAGGGAGAAGAGGTAGAAGATACATTAGAATATCGAGTACAGATGAAGTAAATTCAGTACTTCGGGTAGTACATTGCATGCTAATCATAATGAGAATTAGAAAAGCAGCATTGCGGACTACTATAACTGACATATACACAAACTATTGAAACTATCAAAGATGTGGTTAGCCTAGACACAAAAGTCAGGAATACCTTTCAAAGAAAACATTTACATGTACATGTACATGTATATCTACTTACTCAATCCGGTTTTTTTCTTCGCATCACTTTTTCTGTTTTCACCCTGATGGTGGGCCATCAATGCCAGAATA